ACCCTAAACTTCCAAACCAAGAAACCAAGTCCCATGAGGTGTTTGGTTGTACATAAGCAGCCTCAGCAGCTACTTTCTTTCTTTCTGTCATTTTGTTGTTGTTGTAAATATATCTATCACACAACTTTTGCCAATTCAACTTTTTACAGGTGTACAACTTATTGACAACAATTATAATAATCAACTGTGCAATGCTACCCTTAGTCAAAGCGATTTTCCCATCACTGTTAACTCCCTTTTTCTCCTCCCTTCCGTCCCTGGTAACCACCAAAAAACTTTGGTCTCTGTACGTTTGCCCTTTCTTATCTTTTTATATAGGTGAGGTCATACAATAACTGTCCTTTTGTGGTTGACTTATTTCACTCAGCATGTCTTTGAGTTCCATCCATACTGTAGCATGTATCAAGATTTCATGTCTCCTACTGGCAGAGTAGTATTCCATTGTATTTATGTACCTCACTCTGTTTATCTATTCATCTGTTGATGGGCATTTAGGTTGTTTCTACCTTTTAGCTATTGTGAGTAGTGCTGCAATGAACATTGGTGTACAAGTCTCTCCGAGTCTCTGCTTTCGGATCTTTTGGGTCTATACGTAGGAGTGGAATTGCTGGGTCATATGGTAGTTCTGGAGCCCTGTGGTGCAGTGGTTAAGAGCTTGGCTGCTAACCAAAAGGTCAGAAACCCTATGGGGCAGTTCTACTCAGTCCTATAGGGTCGCTATGAGTTGGAATTGACTCGATGGCAATGGGTTTGGTTTTTGGTTTTTATGGTAGTTCTATTTTTAGTTTTTTTGAGGAACTGCCATGGCTGTACCATTTTGCATTCCCACCAGTAATGGATAAGGGTTCTAATTTCCTCACATCCTTGCCAACATTTGTTATTTTCTGTTTTTTAATCTTAGCCATTCTAGTGGGATTGAAATAGTATCTCATTGTGGTTTTGATTTGCATCTTTCTGATGGCTAATGACATTGAGCATCTTTTCATGTGTTGGTGGCCATTTGAATGTCCTCTTTGATCAAATGTCTATTCAAGTCCTTTGCCCATTTTATGATTGGGTTGTCTTTTTGTTGTTGTGGAAATTTTATATATATTTTGGTTATTACATTCTTATTGGATATATGGTTTCCGAAGATACTCTCCCAGTTGTTAGCTTTTCACTTTTTTGCTGAAGTCTTTTCTTTTGATGAACAGAAGTTTTTAATTTTTATGAGGTCCCATTTGTCTTTTGCTGTTTTTGTTATTAGAGAATCCATTGTTAAAACTAGGCCTGACAGCATTGACCCTGCATTTTCTTTTAAGAATTTTATGGCTTTAGTTTGCACGTTTAGGTCCTTAATCCATTTTGAATTTGTTTTCCTGTATGGTGTGAGGCAGGGGCCCTGTTTCATTTTTCTGCATGTGGAAATCCAGTTTTCTCAGCACCATTTATTGAAGAGACTCTTTTTTCCCCATCGAATGGACTTAGCACCCTTGTCAAAGTCAGTTGTCCATAGGTGTGTGGGTTTATTTCAGTACTCTCAGTTCTGTTGCATTGGACTATGTGTCTACTGATATGCCAGTACCAGGCTGTTTTGATTACTGTAGCTGTATAAACCGAACCAAACCCACTGCCATCAAGTCAATTCCGACCCATAGTGACCCCATATGGTTTCCAAGGATGTAAATCTCTACGAAAGCAGACTGCCACATCTTTCTCCCATGGAGTGGCTGGTGGTTTCCAATGGCCAACCTTTCCGTTAGCAGTCATTGCTTTAATCATTGTGCCACCAGGGCTCCTTGTAGCTGTATAAAACCCATGGCTATTGAGTTGATTCTGACTCATAGTGACCCTGTAGGACAGAGTAGTACTGCCCCACAGAGTTTCCAAGGAGCAGCTGGTGGATTCGAACTGCGGTAGCACTTAACCAGTATGCCACCAGGGTTTCCTGTAGCTGTATAGTATGTTGTAAAATCAGAAAATGTGAGTCCTCCTACTTTGTTCTTCTCTTTCAACACTGCTTTAGCTATTTGAGGCCTCTTGCCATTCCACATAAAGTTGAGGATTGGTTTTTCTATTTCTGTAAAGAAGGCTGTTGGAATTTTGATTGGGATTGCATTAAATCTATATTGCTTTGGGTAGTACTGACATCTTAACAATATTGTCTTCCAACCCACGAACATGGAACATCTTTCCATTTATTTAAGTCTTCTTTCTTTCAGCAGTGTTTTATAGTTTTCATTGTATAAGTCGTTCACATCTCTGGTTAGATTTATTCCTGGGTATTTTATTCTCTTAGGTGCTATTGTAAGAGGAATTGTTTCCCTAATTTCCTGTCTTATTGCTGGTGTATATGAACCCAACGGATTTTTGTTTTTGACCTTGTACCCTGCAACTTTGCTAAACTCCTCTATTAGCTCTAGAAGTATTCCTGTGGACTCTTTGGGTCTACATTCTAATTTGAACTGCTCTGTCATTTATTAGTGACATCAACAATGAGGTTCATCACTCTCTGCAAACAGGCCATAAGGCTTTAAGCTGAGATCTACTTGCACAATGTAATATTAAGTCAGCATTCGCTTTTACTATCTATAAGAGTAAATACATAAAAGGTGGTTATTTTATTTCTTTTTCTTGTCTATAAACCCCAAACCAAACCCATTGTTGTCAAGTTGATTCCAACTCATGTCGACTCTACAGGACAGGGTAGAACTTCCCCATAGGGTTTCCAAGGTTATAAATCTTTACAAAAGGAGACTGACACGTCGTTCTCCCTTGGAGTGGCTGGTGGGTTTGAACTGCTGACCTTTTGGTTAGCAGCCAAGTGCTTAACCACTGCGCCACCATACGTATAGCTAATGCTAGTTGCCATTGAGTTGATACTGACTCATGGTGACCCAACAGGTACTTTTAAAATGTTAACCTTAAAAACAGTTGTTTTATTATGGCATTTATTATTGGTGAACAGCTTAGTATTGTTGTTATTAGGTGCCGCTCAGTCAGTTCTGACTCATAGTGACCCTATAGGACAGAGTAGAAGGGCTCCATAGGGTTTCCAAGGAGCAAAGGAGCAGCTGGTGGATTTGAACTTTTGGTTAGCAGTCGAGCTCTTAACCACTATGCCACCAGGGCTACAGCTTAGTATTACACCTTGGTAAATACTTCTCCTTGTGGAATATTTGTGACCGTGTTGCAGGGGGAGCCCCGGTGGCGCAGTGGTTAAGAGTTTGGCTGCTAAGTAAAAGGTCAGCAGTTCAAATCCATCAGCTGCTCGCTGGAAACCCTATGGGGCAGCTCTACTCTGTCCTATAGGGTCACTATGAGTTGGAATTGACTTGATGGCAACAGTTTTTTTTTTTTTTTGGTGCTGCAGGAAGCGTAGGCTCCTCCCTCCCCACCCATACAGCTGTGCTTCCTTACCTGCATCTCAAAAACAACAAATGCCAATAGAGTATGGAGTCAGACTCGGACACTTTATTTTACTGAATTTAGATTCAAGTTCAACTAACCATTGTAACAGGTAGTAAGATTCAAACATCTGAGAAAAATGTATTTAAATCACAAGAAAGTAAGCTCACACAGAGTTTCTGGGTAATTGGATAAACTTTCCTTTTCTTGATTCTCAACACCCATCATGTGCAAGTGTGGCAACATGAGGTCGCCAACATGCAGGAAGTTATACGACACCACGACAATCCTCCAAGATATTCATTCTTGACTGAAAACGTTACTTAAATTAAAAAAAACACTTAAATATGTCCCTCAGTTTTTAATTCCTAATTGTAAAATGTGATTTTAGTAACAGAACAACAAAGAATTCTCCTTGGTTGGTCACATCATTCACTATTGAAAGGGAAAGTCAATATCAGAAAAAAAACAAAACACTGGAATAAATAAATACTTAATTTACTTAAAGGTAGTTTTGCTGCATTGCACATTACCGCATAAAATTCTAAAGTTGTTTTTTTTAAAAGCTTGGAAAACACATTTGCTTTCTTTAGCTTCTTGTTAAGTGATGCATGCTCCTTGTAACAAAAACTATTCTATGTAGGCCTGAGTTTAAAATGTAAATAGTCCTTAAGCCAGAGCTCAGCCAACCCTGATGCACAGGTGTGGCCAATCGGAGGTGAAAGGTGATCTCTGAAGCCCTCAGGGTGTCCCCCCATGTTCCCCGCCTCCAGCCACGAGCAGCCACTCCAGATTGCCCTTAGGGTGGGAAGCGCTGCCTAAAGCCAGCAGTTTAGGGGTGAAAATGTGCAAAAATCACTGATACAAGCCCATGTGTTTGTACTTTTACTCTGATGTCCCTAAATGGATTATAAAATCTTTTGAGAACATGCTCTGAAGGTTTAAAAATGAGAAACATACAACATAGCTTAGAAACGTAAGCATTTACTATAAGAGGGTTTCTAGCAAGATTTAACACACAACACTCTCCTTGATAAGGCTTTTACCAAGTTCCAGGTCCGATTTCTTCTGCTTTCTATGACAACTATACAGGGTTTCCTGCCTTCCTGGCCAGTCCTGAATTACTATTAATCCTTCTAAATTCAGCTCCTCCCATGCTTGCCTCTAACCCCATTCCTGCAACATCTGGAGAACTAGCCTAACTGCCTTCCCTTCTTTGGTACAGAATGGAGAATAACTATGTGAGACCTTCTCTGTAGCACAATCTGTTGTGGCTGCAGACACATCAACACAACACAATGATCCTTCTTAAATAACACTTGGTTTTGGGGGGGACCATATTTCCTGGCATGTTAGAAAACTGATCTTGAAAATAATTTAGAAGAAAGGATAAAAAGTGAAATTCTGGTGCATAAACAAATATTTGAGATTGAAGTTTGGTCACTTCTCCTGCCTATCTTTTTGCATCCACAGAGGGTAACTGCCTTCCTAAAGTAAGAGAACAATACTGTCTATATATCCTTTCTTGAATCGACTGTTCTCACAGGGGTGGGCAAATTTTTTCTATAAAGGGTCAGACAGTAAATATTTTATGCTTTATAGGCCACATACAGTTTCTGTTGTATATTCTTTTTTTTTTTTTTTTTAATTCTTACAAACCTTTAAAAATTTAAAAGCCATTCTTAACTCATGGGTCTCATAAAAAGAGGCCATGGGCCAGATCTGGCCTGCAGGAGACAGTTTGCCCTGATGCAAGGAATTCTTTGTCAGGGGAACATGGGTGCTTAACAATATCAAGTATAAGGCTGTCTGGGCCTTAGGCTCCTAGCTTGAGGATCTGTTTTGAGGAGACAGTTTCCTGCAGCAGGGCTCCTCAGGTCAGGTTTAAAGTAGAGCTCCTCTGTGTTTGTCGCTACTCTGTCCCCTAAAAGTTACAGCTGGACCAAATTAGCATCCTTTATTTAGAAAGTGGCTATTTGCAGTAGGAAGTCTTAATTAAGGCCTATTTAAATCTGTGACTACACTGGCTTATCCTTGCCTTGATTTTAAAAGCAAAATAACACACTCTGGATAGTCAACATTTTTCATTCTACAGGTTAGGGACTTATTAGTACATAGTGGTTGATGGTAGAAAAACTAAAGTGTAAACATACTTCCTCTTCACCACTAATGCACCCAGCTGGGGCAAACCCTATCGAAGAATTCAAGGAGAAGCACACCAGCTCACTCCATTTCTGAGGTATCCATGACACAGCTCATTTGTGGCTGGATCTTGATAAGGAAGAGTGTTTACTGGGGACCAAGGATTTCAACAGCTGGAGATCAGCATTTCAGAAGCTAGTCTGTAAATCTATGGAGACATAGATCTCCGTGCTCTCTGGAACAAGACTCTCTACACATTAAATGCAGTAATACCGTACAGCTCCTCCAACTTTCTGCATATCTGAGATGCAAACATTCTAACATTTTTTTCACTGCTGGATATTCATTTTGAAGAGCAGACTAAGAGAATTTGCACTTCTTTCATAAATTTGCGCTCTTTTACATTAAGATAAACTAACTTTTTTTTTTTCTGAGTTAAATAAGGGTTTCAGAATTTGAATTCTTTCTCTAATCAGTGATTTTTTAAAAAGCAGCTGATGGTTCTCAACATACACATACGCTAACAACTACATGAATTTAACTATTCTGGAATTAAAACACAGCACACACACACACACACAAAAAGAACACCTAAAAACCGTTATGAGAATTCCCAAATCTTCTAAACTAAATAAATTGGCAGAAAAAAACTGTTATCACATATGCCAATCTAGGTGTCTTTCTTAGGCTTTTGTTTAAAATGTCAAATTTGTTTTCTTCATAACATGAGTTTACTTCATGTATTGAACTCACGCCCTCAGTCTGGATTCACAGTGGCACTGCCGACACAACTTCAACCACAGCAGTAACACAAAGAGTTTCAGGAGGTCTGTGAAGTCAATCTGCTGGGACTACTTTGAATTAAGGGAGAAAATGTCAACTTGAAGTTGGAAGAAACTGAGTACAATTAAACAAGGAAAAATGTACTACTAAGAAATACTGCAGTGCCTGTAAGTGGGCCCAAGATCTAGGTCTAGGAACATCAAAACCAGTGAAACTTCATCAATTTTCTAATTCTTTCGAAAATAAAGGAGTTCTAATGCCACTAAAAGAAGGGATACAGAAAGGAATTCCTGTGGTCACGAAAACATAATGAATTTGCCCACCCCTAAATAAAATGAAATGAAACAGTAAAATCAGAAAGGTCTGTTTTTAAAAGTAAGAGGACTACCTTCCCTCATTCTGCTGCCTTAGGATTTTCTCATGTGCACACACAAAGCTCATGTACAGGTTTCTTCATTATTAGTTTTAAAAATGGTTACCTCCTGGTACCTATATTCTCTGTTTTGGCTATGAACAGTTTTGAATTTTTACAACTGCAAGGTAAACATACAGCAACATACCCGAATGAGAAACAAAAATTAAACATTAACCTCTTTCAGTTAGAGCTTTCAAAATGGAGATGGGGAAAAAAAAAAGGATTATAATTTCAGTCAATACATTTTTGGTTCTGTGAAAGTGTCACTCTTCAGTCCTATCTCCATTGATAGAAGTTGTCTTTTCCATTTCCCCCAACATCAAAGTGCATTTGGTGAAAAGTTAACATACTTTAGAAAAAAAACGAAAATCTTACTAAATTTTGGCAGCAAAACTCAAGTGAATTCCCATTTCCCTACTTAATTTAAAGCTGTATCCAAAATGGCTAAATGCAGTATTTCTAAGAAGCAAGGCCTGAAAACAATGTATTTTGTTTTTGTTTTAAGGAACCAAAAGGATAAGGAAAAACAAAACCGAATGAGAATAAAAAGGAGAAACCCTGAGGCAAAAATGGCTTTTCCTTTAGAGTCTCCCTGGAGCTCTCTACATCCCAGGCTTATAAGGTCCCAGCAACCTTCTGAGCCGCAAGGCCTTCCTCCATCCAGAGGGTGGCAGCTGAACCGTTGCGCAGTGTCCGCCGGTGAATGCGCCGGAGCCGCAGCAGGTAGAGGAGGATGGACAGCAGGACCACCAAGAAGCAGCCAGAAAACAGGTAGTGATTGTAGACAAACGAGAAGCCCCGCCAGTGAGTGTGACTGGACCGGAAAATCTCCTGCTGGATATCTCTGTCCACATGCAAACAAAAATCAACAAAAACAAACCAAACAGGTAAGAGATAACAGAAAGGAGAACTATCAGACAGGGAATAAGACGTAAGGAACAGCGCACAGGATACAGGAGAGAGGACCCGCTTAGGACCCAGCTCTGTAGACAAAAATTGTAACCTCAGTCTCTGAGACTTGGTTTCCTTAGCTCTAAAATGTAGGATAAGATGGCTTAATGCGGGGTGGTTACAAATATTACAAAAGATAACATGAGAGAGTGTACTCAAAAGTCTCTACAGTCACTGCCATCATAATTTGGTTAACAAAAATCAGCGAAATTTTAGGAGAACTGTGAGTAAAGTTTTCAGTAATACATGGAAGCCAGTGTGGACCTAACTACTTGATTGTGATCAGTAATACCCACTACTCACAATTTTTGCAGTTAACCCAGATAAAAGTATTCCTGGGAGATAGTCAATTAAATGAAGAAAAAAAAGAAAAAGAAAAATGAGTTAATACCTCATTTATCAGTTAACCAGAGTTCCTAACACGGGTCAACAGATAGCCAGTGTATGAACCTGAACGGGGAAGATGTTACACCTCTTTATTTTCAACAATCTCTTACTGGAAACTTAGCTATTTCCTTCAATCATGAATGCAGACAACAAACTACTACAGTATTAGCAGGACCAGTGATTTTGTTACTAGTGAAAAATCACAAATACTTTACATCACATTATAGTGCTATACCTGTCTCAAAATATCACCGACACTCACAGCTACACTGAAATTACAGAAATTACTAGTTCTGCTGGGACATCCTGATATTTATTGTGTTAATAAAGCACGTGTATTACTACATTAGAAACTTGTTTTCTGTAGTATTTTGATAAATGTCTTTCAATACAGTGGTTTCCTTTGTAATCTATGTATAAATACTAGGCATTTAAAAACAGTATTTTGAGAAGGGGTCCAAAGGCATAAAGGTTAAGAACTCCTGAATTAGCCCCTCTCCAAGGGTGAGGGAACAGAAAGCTGAGAACAATCTAACTGAGGGCAGCAGCCCTGTGGAGTACAGGGCAGGTCACGAGGGGCAGGAAGGAGGGAAGCACTGGTAGGGAGGTGGGAAACACTAAAGTCAAATTTCACAGGATTTATAATTTTACCCGTTGGCAGATCTAACAGTACCCCAAACATCCACAGACCACGGGTGGCTCACCTCTAATACTGTGGCCATGACGCGTCCTAACTGCTGAAAAGCATCTTTTTTTGATTCCCATTGCCAAATTCACAGCCATACCTTAGGGGTAAAAAGCGAGTCCTATAAAGGATTGCTCCTAGGGTCCACTGAACCTCCTTGTCATAAACTTGCAATGCAGTCTTTAAATTTTTGTAATTGACAGGAAACGAAAAGCCCCTATGAAACACTTCAAACATCCAGGCAGATTTGAAGCACTGATACCTACAAACACAAAGCACAACATAAATCGGATTGGTCATCTGTCAAAATGACACTGTACACAAAGACATCTTTCACTCTGCAACCAGCACTGTGGTAAAGCTTTAGCAGGCAGCTCTCAGATGAGCCAAACCAACTGGCTGTTTCAAGTTGATTTAATTGGTTTATGTCTCTTGTCCCACAGAACCAAACAGTTCACCTGTCAAATCAATTAGCTCATAAAACTTGGTCTCTGCATTATTGAATACAATGCCATGAGAGTTCTCCCACCTCAGGCATTCCATCATTTATTCACTTAATAAATATTGAGCAAGTTCCAATCTCTCTGGACCTCAGTTTCTTTATTTATAAAATGAGAGCGTACTAATTCATTATCTGTAAGCCAATTTCAACTCTAATATTCTATGAGTCTACATATTTATTCGAGGCTTACTTTTTGCAAAGTACTGTGCTAAGCAAGTAATAAGATACAATAAATAATACCGCATAGTCACTGTTCTTAAGGGACTTACAATGAAAGGGGATTTTTGAAAATCAATGAATAACTATGAAACAAAGCAGAATATGATAAATGCCACTAGAGAGGCATAATTAGTGCTAGGGAGACTCAAAGAGAAAGGGACGGAGTCTGGTTGAGGGGACAGAGGAAGACTTGAAGTGACAGCGTCTGACCTGACGCTGAAGTGTGAAGACGACTTTAACAAGCAAAGATACGAACAAGGGAATTTTGGGTGGAAGAAACAGCAAAATCAAGCAAGAAAATATAGGCTATGTCTGGGGATAAGTATTTGCCCAGTATGAAAGGAGGCAAGGGTAGATGAAAAGCAGAGAGACTGATGGAGATAAAAACGTAGATGGGGCCAGGGTGTGGCAAGCCAGTGGGTCACTCCGGAAGTAATGTCTTCTCAGAAACACTCTGACTTAACTGCCCGCTACTTACTTTAGCCTGTGGAGGTCAGCATGAGAGGCATAGAGTCCTCGGTCAAAGCGTTCCCGCAAGATGGACCACTTTGTTGCACAATAATCCTGAAAGAAATTTTATCCAAGATAAAATATTAGTAAAGGTTTATTAAAACTTTTTTTTCTTCAGTTTCAAAAAGGTTTGCCAAACTCCTATTCATAATAAGCATATTCCTCCAACTAGGAAACATACAAGCTTAACTTATATATGTGTACAGTGAATGCAAGTCATACAAACACTTGGTGAATATTTACTGATTAGCAAATATAAATGCTTGTTCTTTGTCTTAAAATTCTGCCAAACCTAGAGTTAAAAAGAACTTCACTGCCCACAATCAACCTCCTCAAAGCTGTTTAGCTTCGCTCTGAACGACTGCATGTTACAGGCATACAATTCTGGAAAAGTGAAGCAATATTTTAAATAGTTCAAACGGAGTACCTATGTCTGTGCCAGACACAGTACAAGGTACTGGGAATACAAAGATGATTACTAAGGGCTTTGTGTTGAAGTGAAAGAAGTACCACCTTTCCTGCAGTTACTCATTTGGAATATTAATAGCTAACATTTACTGAGCACTACATGTCTGAATCTGTGTTAAGTGCTTTTTCTGAATTTAATACTTAAAACAAGAGAGGACAAGGTTACTATTATAACCTCTATTTAAAGGAGGAAGAAATGGAAGCTCAGAAAGATGACAGAGCTTGTCTGGAGTATGCAATAGGGACACAAGGGGACGGCACTTAGCCTGAGGTGAGAGGGTGAGGACAGACATTTCAGGCAGAGGAGGCATCATGAACAAAGACACAGACAAGAAACAGCACAGAGAATTAGGGAAACTAATAGTTGTTTGATATGATTAGGTGTTGTGGGGGGAGATGAGGCTACAGAGGTAAGAATGACATGAGAAGGCATTTGGAATCTACCCTGCAAGCAACAGGAAGCTGCAAAAGATTTTAAATAGGAGAGCAAGGTAATTGTACCTGTGTTTCAGACTGAACACTGGGAGAAGTGTGGAGGATGAATAATGGTCTGAAGACCAGATGCAAGAAGACCAATTAGGAGGCTCCTGTAACAGCGCACGTGAGGGACAGAAGGCCTGGACTAGGACAATGATGGTAGGACAGAAAGTAGAGATGGGTTTGAGAAATATTTATGAGACAAACTATCATGCTTGGTGACTGTTTATATGGGGGGCATAGGGAAGAATGAATGACTGAAAGGGAGAAATCCATAACTCCTAGGTTTTGGAGAGGGGGGCTGGATGGTTGGTGATGCCATTAACTGGGACAGCACAACAGAAACAGAATGGGGAGAAAATGGAGCATTTGATTTGAATCATGAAATCTAGCAGGCAACCGGGCAGAGGTCAAGGTCGGAGCCTGTTCTTGAGAGACAGCAGCAAACGATGAGCATAGTTGAGGCCATCCAAGAACTTGAAGGTCAGCGGGCTAACAGTGGAACTCTGGGATCACCAAGGTTTAAGGGACATGAAGAGGGGACACCCCCGAAAGAGACAGACAAGAAACTGTTAGAAAGGCAGAGGGGAACAAGGGAATAGGGGTATCCTGGCAGCTAAGGGAGTAGGAAGGCGGGAAGGAGTATTTTCAGATGCAGCATAAAAGAACAGTAAAACTCCAACTGGAGGTCACTGATAACCACGGTAGTTAATGGAGTGGTGGGCAGAAATCAGCTTACAGTGGATTTTTGACTTCTGCTCTATTTCCCTCCCCCAACTAAGGGAATAGGATTCCCAACACGTACTACAATCTTCCATACTCCATCCTTCCCTTCTCCTGACGCAGGTTTCCAAATGTGACGAGAGGATATAACCTGTCACTGTTTACACCAGTCTCAAAAGCATGCAGGAGAAAGAAGACGGTTTCTTTGAAGGTTACCTTTGCAGCTTTAGTAAATTTAGCAGCATCGTAGTCTCCCCCCATTCGTAACACATCCTCAGTGCAATAGTAGAATTCAGAAAAGCCATAGAATTCGCTGTTCTGGAAGTGAATTGGGGGCTGATAGATTCCACTGAGAGAAGTTTGTGTCTCATTTGTTTTATTCATGAAAGGCTGGATAGTCTCTCGACACAGGTCAAAGTCTCCTGTTCCCCGTAGGTACATGGTCTGTCCATTTTGTTGGATTTCATCCTTAATGTCTCGGGGTAAGCAGGGATCCAGGTATGGAGTATCAGGAGTCAGACCAGTCTGTTTACCCAGGAGCCTACAGGACAAAGAGAAACTTTATCACAAGACCTACAGAAAACTGTTTCGGAGAGGTGACTGTAGATTAATGTTTCTGAAAATATGCTCTAGAGAACAGTAGTACTGTAAGATGTTCTATGGGAAAATAAAAGGGTCCCAGGATCAATTAAGTTAGGAAATTACATGTTCGATCCTCTTGCAGATACATGATACACATTAGCATATAGCAGATACTTCAACAGAGTCTAGTTAAACAACCTGTCAGACTACCCAGTGCTTTCCACTCCCCCTGTAGTACATACTGATGCTCATGGCCTACTGAGTGTTCACGGCTAGGAAACTCCTCTCTAGCCACACATTCACTGCAGTCAAATGCCTACCAACTGCGTTGTTCCTGAGCCCTTTTTTGCCACCAAAACTGTTGCCGTTGAGTCGATCCTGACTCACAGCAACCCTATAGGACAGAGTAGAACTGCCCCATAGAGTTTCCAAGGAGCACCTGGTGGATTCGAACTGCCGACCTTTTGGTTAGCAGCTGTAACTCTTAATATTTTAATGATACATAAATGAATGAAATGTGTCTGTGAAAAGAAGGTAACTGGTCCTATGAAAACTAGGTTAGATGCTTTAGAAAGATATGATAAAGGCAAGTTGCTAGAAAACTTATTAGGTGTGGCAAAGATTTAAAAAACTGGGAAAAATCTCAAGGGACTTGGTATTAAATTACTTCATAAATATCTCAGTATTCCCTAAATTCTTTAAAGAAACTCAAACCGATGAGTTGGTGCAATGCACGCAAGAGAAACGATAGAAAACTCTAATCAGTGGACATGTCCGGAGAAAAACACCTTAGTTCACTGCAAAAGATTGGCAAATAAATGTATAAGTTAAAATAAAATACTTAAGGTTTGAGTCTATTTTTATGATTCTGTTCTGATTTTGTTTTTAATCCATCAACTATTGATCCCAACTGCAGCAGATAAGAGTTTCTATTGAACCACAGGCTCTGAGAAGTCCTGCAGAAAAGAAATCTTAACTTTAACTGAGCCTTTCTCAAGTGAAATCCAGTAGGCTTACTACCTCTTGACTAAATTTCTGGGAGTTAACATCTGTTGTCCTACTACGTATTCTCCTATTGAAGCAATGGAAACAGAAAAGAACTTACGAGAACTAAAGTTATGCTAGTGTTTGATACCATGAAATGACATAGGACCAAAAGGTGTCATTAGCAGAGGGCCTGAATTCAACTTTCAGTCACAGTGAATCAAATTTTTGCCTTCCATTTAATTGACAAGCTGTATATTCCTAAGATGAGGGAAACTCAAAATGCAGTTGAATATAACAAATCAAGGTTTTGGGCATTAAAAATATTTATTTAATTAAAAAAATCAATCCCCACTACTAATGGCAAAGAGATAAGCATGAATTTCAAGGCTTAATTCATGACACATGAAAAAAGTAATGAGCAACACAATTATTACAAAAGTCTAAGTCTAGTCAAATGCATGCTTCATGCTATTATTTTTAGTGGCCTTGCATCTAAATTAAGAAGTACCACTGAATTGTCCATTATGCAAAACTTTTTGACATTAAAACCAATCGGTAAAAATTAGGACTCCACAAGGAGTTCAGTGACTCTGTAAAAATCTGATTCAAACGTCATTTCACTTATAAAATATTTCTATTTTAACACTATCATAAAAAATAGTTACACTCAAAATGTGCTATATACCACATAGAAACTTTTGGAACAGACATATGAAAAGGTTTTTATTGCTTCTCCTACGCACATATGTGAATTTCTGGTCATTGTGGTACTGAATAGCTCTCTGACTTGGTTTTTTTTAAAGTTCAGGTCTTCACAGGTGTAAGATTAAATTGATCAAGAAAGTATACTATCACTTATTTCTAAAAATTAGGATGTTTTCTTCCTCAAAAGTGTTGCATCAAAACAAACAAAATGCAGAAACTGCAGGGTTTACTTTAACTTTACCCAAAGTAATTTGGTCTTTGTCCTCGGTTCCTGAGAGATAACACTAAACCCTTGGAATTTCCTAACTGAGGTGTTTGTCTTATCTATAGGCCTCCAGACCACACCTAAGAGTTTACGCTAATGAGGTGACTCAGGAGTGCTGGCCAGGCCAGAACAGCCACTGTGTGGAATCAGCTTAATAAGGCCACAATAAAGGCTCTGGACACCAGAGCTCCATGGGCTTCTTGGCTGGTGAAAGACTAACTGTGAAAAAGTAGTGTGTTCCTTTCTGGGACATGCAAGCTCCACGCTGGAAATTCTCCCAGACCCCTCCCTGTGTGTCCCTTCATTTGTATCCTTTTGATGTAAAAAAAACTATAATCGTAAATACAGTGCTTTCCGTTGAGTTCTGTGAGTTGTGCTAGGGAATTACGGAACCCAAGGGAGTAGATGGAGCCAGCAGGTCAGAAGTGAGGGAGGCTGGGAATCCCTAAGCTTACAGCTGGTATCCTGAGTGGGTAGAGGGAACCCTGAATTTGTAGCCAGCAGGCCAGAAGTGAGGGTGTTGTGGGGTCTCCTAAGCTTCTGGCTGGCATCTTGGGCCGACCTGGCTGTCTGGAGGACTGTGCCTGTTAACATGTGAGGTCTGACGTAGCTCCTGGTAGTTACGGTCAGAGGAAGAAGTGCTGCATGTGGAGAGGTGGCAGAAAAGTGAAAAGTGGGGATTTGATAACATCCTTACAGAAAGAGGATATCTTATATAACCCTAGATTTCAGATTTTTGTATTCATTCAGCAGCCTTTCTATTCTACGGACTCATTTCAAATAAGTAATTGCTGTGTACTTAAACTTACAAAATAAATTTAAACTGATAAAGTGTTGCTTTTATTTGTCTTAGATGTTTTCTATACAGTGACCTTACACAAACTCATTTTAAAAAGCCACACTGCTAAAATAATTAAAAACCACTAGCTGACCTCTAGATTATTTCCTTCTCCTGAATAACATTCTCCACTATGGTTCTTAGCTACTAAATAAATGCATAGGCTAGTTTTCCATAAACTATAGAGAACACTACATATTTCAGTATTTCAATCACATCACTGACAAGAGCACATATTTACTGCAGGCCTACAGGACATCTGCCAGTGTCCGAGGTGCTGAATTTCCCAAAGACTTTGCAATCGTGAATATATTACCCCAAACTCAAAACTATTTAATATTCTCATAGTGAAATTTCCAATTCATCGAAATCCTTCTTTGGAGGTGATCCTGGGTTGAAGGCAGGATCCTGGTGTCCCTTATTTCTTCCTCCCAGCTCAGCAGGTAGAGGGTAGCCAAAAGCTAACAGTGTTAACATACTTCTGTTGATTGAGTTCTCTGTGCTTTGCCTGGATTTTCTTTTATAAGAGAGGAAGGTTTGAAAGTAACTGCTGAGTAGCAGAAGGTGCTTTACCTATTCTTCTGAGCTGTGTTGGCAAATATTCTGTCTTCATATCTCTGTCGAGCAGCATTGCCACCAAATCCAAGAAACGTGGCCACATAGACCCTGTACACATGCTCAGTTTGGTGAACATCACATCCCAAGTTAAATTCAGCTAATAAGTTTTTAGCTATTTCCTCCTGCAGACATAAGAATAACAACCTTTAGTATTTGAAGCAATACAAAAACAATCCCTCCTGATGAATATGCCCCCTTTAAAAAGAAGGATCTAAAAAGATTCTTATCTGAGAGAGGCAGAAACTTCTGCCTCTGCATTTCCCAAAATCTTTTTAAGAATCCTTCATAATTCAACATGACAATTCTGACTTGAGAAATTTCAGATGTGCTGCACATTTGTAATATTGTTATGATTCTTTGAAAAAGTTAATACCCTCTGACCTAGTAAATTTATTTATGAAATCTTATTCTTTGGAAATGATCCTAAACATAGAAAAGTCTCTACACACAAAATATCAATTGCAATTCTACAACAGAAAAAAATGGATGATGTCTGAATACACATCAAGGGAGGGGTTAGTTAATTATGATGTATCAATAGTGTATGTCATGTTTAAGAAAGCCAGATTATAATAGAACATGCCTATGTATTGTTAAATAAAGAACACAAAATGGTGTAAACAGTAGGATTATAACAACCATATTTAAAAAACTGTGAGCAGGAAAAATAAAAGAATAAAAAGAAATATATAAGATGCTAACAATGGTTGCATTTGGATCATGAGTCCATGGAAAATTTTTAATCTTCATTTTTCAGTATTTTCCCAAACTTTATATGTATGTTTCACTTTATAATGAGAAAAAGATAAACATGGTTTTATGAAAAGAGTGTAACAGTTTCTAGAGGCATGTTTGAATGGGAAGTAGAAAAGACAACTTGTAACACTGGAATTTACAAAGCTTTTTTCCAAGGAGCTCAAGGCTTTTATAGACCACCCTAATAAATATAATACTAACTGACATTTATCAAGCATATACTAGGTGCCTGGCAGTGCACTATATACAATATGTACATTGTCTCAGTTGATCTTTATAATAACCCTATTATGTTGTAAGCACTCTTATTCACGTTTATAGATGAGGAAACCAGCTCAGACAAGTTCAGTGACTTGCATAAAGGAATACAAAGAGGATGACAGCTCCACAGCTTCTTTTAACCACCATAATATCCCCTATGTTCTACAGGAAAATGTAGGAAAACAGGCTTTGGTATTAATTTACAGCTGAATAATGAGGACATGTAGTAATTCAGTAATACATCTGAAAACCCAAACCCAGGTTGTCGGCCTGGTGTTCTCTACACAAGGCCATTCAGCCTACTGAGAAACTTACAGGCAGTGACCGAAAGCACTGAAGGGAATGGAGAAAAGGTAGCATAAAGCATAAGTTCAGAAATGTGGGAGTATTAGGTATTAACCTCAATCCTTTCCTGAAAAGTTAAAAGCTGTCTGAACCATAAAAAATAAGTATTTTCCCAATTATATCTTAAGAAATCTAATCTTATTTTCTTAAGTTTTACAATACCTGTTGAGAAAAGAAGTGACTGAAGAAAATATTAAAGAAAAATTCAAGCATGTGATTGACATATATACCAAAGAAAAACCTGAAGCTTAGAAAACAAATCAGCTGATTTCAATGAACAAACACAAACTGCTTCGCTGAGGTCTGCCTTGGTTTCCTCCCGTCTCCTTTCTCCTGGGTTGAGAAGGTGGCACCTCAGCAAGAACAGTAAAGATGTTTTCAGACTCAGAAAACAAAAAAAACGGATGGAGACATGTTAAATGAAAACCAAACCAAAACAGAAGAAAATTTGTACAGATAATAACCTGCTGTGAGGAGGCAAAGCTTACAGTTTTGGGGACTTCGTATGCTATCTGAGTTGACACGCCTCCCATGTCGAGAATACCCGCAGTTCTTTTTCGGATAATCGCTTCGCTGCTTTCACTACCAGGAACGTTAACTTCCACAACTGCCTCATCATCTGGAAAGAACAAGAAACATTCACTGGAACAGAACAAATTCAGAGAACTGGGATCTTCTGAAGAGTCATCTTGTCTTCATGGTAGATTTCAAGAATATTTTGGCGAATTCAGCCTACTCCTCTCATCTAAAATCAAGTTTAGTTGCATTAAATAGCAGCTTCTCTTGCTCTACTCCTACACACTTAGCATTGTCACAAAATTTAACTCCTATCTAATCCTCTGGACTAAACAGAAAAACTATGATTTCCAGTTAAACACATTAGTTGGAAACATGATACTTACCATCTTCAATATGCTCAAATCGTCCAAGGACAAAATTAATGCCAATCCAAGCATACACACCTACAGACATTTCACAGGGTGAAAATAAGAAAATTAAAGTTTAAAATATCTTCTATAACTCTTATTAACGCAGTCTGTGTAAACATCACATTTTTTTTTACTACCTGACATCATCTGAAATAACACATTTTTATCGATGTACTTAAAGAGCCCTGGTGACACACTGGTTAAGCACTTGGCTGCTAACCAAAAGGTTGTTGGTTCAAACCCACCAGCTGCTCCATGGGAGAAAGATGTGGCAATCTGCTTCCTTAGCCTTGGAAACCCTATGGGGCAGTTTTACTCCCTCCTATACTGTCGCTCTGAGTCAGAATCGACTTGATGGCCACAGGTTTGGTTTTTTGGTTTGGTAGCGCAGTGGTTAAAGCCCTTGGCTGCTAACCAAAAGGTTGGTCATTTGAACCCACCAGCCACTCAACAAGAGAAAGATGTGGCGGTCTGCTTCTGTAAAGATTACAGCCTTGGAAACCCTGCAGGACAGTCCTACCCTGTCCTATAGGGTCACTATGAGTCAGAATCAACTTGACAGCAACAGGTTTGGGTTTGGTACTGATACATTCATTTTTTCCTAATGGTTTTCCAAGAACTTGCAACTTTAATATTTATAGTTTTATATCTATTTATGTTTGTTGAAAATACAATTCCCCAGGAGCTAGTTTTCCTTTTAAGTTTATGGGTTGTTTCAAACCAGAGCTTTTACTTTCTATGAAGTTAAACCTATCAATTGCCAGGTTTTGAAAACTCAAGTCATTTTTGACTCTTTCCTCTTTTATTCCTACATTCATTCAGTTGCCAAGTGTGACTGATTCTACTTTTACAACATTTCTTACACTCCATCTCTACCCATTTTCATTGCTATTTTGATTTAACCAGTTACAGAGAGAGGCAGTAATAGTCTGTCCAATCAATCTCCCTGCCCCTACTTTTCTACTCGAACTTGTTCTATACTTTGCTATTAAACTGATGGATAGAACCAAGTTCCCTCTCCTTAGCTTGCTGTTTACAGACAAGTGAGGTACACAGTTAGCTGCTATGTAAGGTAGAGTCTTAGGTGCCATACAGAAGACAAAGAAGAAGTATCATGGGAGCTCAAACGTGGGAGAAGTTTTTTTCCAGCTACAGACATGGTGGCGAAAGTGGCATGATGAACAAAGTCAAGAAGAATTTTCCCTTCTTAGTAGTAAATCAGCAGAAGGGTCCACTAGATCAATAATTATCACAATTCCAGAAAGCTGTATAACTTAGCAAGGAACATAGATTTTTTCCATCAAAATATGCACCCTATATGTGACAAAGACAATTTTTTTAATAAATTGTGGTAAAAATATACATAACAAAACATGTCAGTTCAATTTCAACACATATAATTCAGTGACACTGATTACAGTCTTCAAGTTATGCAACCATTCTTGCTATCTTCTTCCAAATTATTCCACCACCATTAACATAAACTTAGTGAGCCCTAAGCAAAAACTCCTCCTTTCCCCACTAATTATTCTTTATGTGGCTCAATGTTTGGTAAATAAAGACCATTCATGTAAGCAACTAGTCATTTAAAAATTATAGTGTTTCAAGACAATAGTTTCTCAAATTTTAAGATATTAAGAGTAATTTAATAGAGTTGAACTCTGGCGAAAATGGAAGAGCTTAAATTCCCACTTTAAAGTTGAAGTTGAAGACCAATATACCAACCTTCTTGCTTCCCTGAAATTACTTCTGCATGGGAGTCAGAAAACAGAAAGTCAAAATGCACAGGGATATCAGTCAGAAGGTCTTCCAGAATGGCTTTCTGTTGACTGTAAGGCAATCCAAAAATTTACATATCAAAACATTACATCCTGAATTTTTGTTTTGAAAGCAAAAAAATAACTATAGCTCTCATATATCCTATATGAAATAGTTAATTTTAAAACCAAAGCAGTTCACTGAAAAGACTGTATTTAAGGAATGAATTTTCAAAATGAACAAATTGTATGAATTATATGATTCATGGGATCGAGTGCCTGGGTAGCACGAATGGTTAAGTGCTCAACTACTAGCTGAAAGGTTGGCAGTTTGAACCCACCCAGAAGCACCTCAGAAGACAGACCTGGCCATCTGCTTCTGAAGGGTCACAGCCTTGAGAACCCTATGGATCAGTTTACTCGGCACACATGGGTTCGCCATGAGTCAGAATTAACTTGACTGCAACTGGTTAGGATATGAAACTACAAATATTCTTTTAATGAAAACTTTAAAAAAAATTTTTTTTAAACATTATAGTTTACTATTTGTAGTCATAAACAAATACAATGAAAGATATTTGGTGGGTTCTGGCAAAAGGAATATTTCTGGTACTAATACAGATTTGAAGAAACAATTGATGTTTTCTTTTTCAAACAAAAGTTAAGAAGCAGCAGCAGCAGAAGAGTGTGGGCCTGCCCTCAGGTGGAGGGTCACCTCTCAGGAAGGATTCTCATCCCAGCCGTGCAGAGAATGTAGAGGGGGGTCTCTTTGTGTTTTGCCCGTGGCACATGCTCTGCAGCAAAGTTCAGGAGTGGAGAAATGTAATCGCTGACTTTCTCTGGAAAGGTAGCAAATTCTGAAATGCCTAGGGAAACAGGACACTTTGGTTAACAAGTAGATATATTAGCTGACAAGTTATATTTCTTCAGTGTGGCTCATTTGAGAGAAATACAAACTATGCACCATGCTCCCTTAGCTCTTCCCTCTCTATCTGCCAACTCTTTCCAAAGCTTCTCTACCTTAAATGTTGATGGTATTAAGTGCTCAGTCCTATGTTTGCTTCGTCCTCAGTCATCAAAAAACACAGAATTGATTGAGCATCTAATATGTGCTAGGCACTTGGGATCAACTGCAAATGAGATCACTTTTGCCCTCAAGAAACATGCTCTCAATTTCCTTAGGCAACTCACTCACTCTCATGGCTGCCATCACCATCTACGCTGCTGATCACCAGCAACCCATCTCTCTTCCCTAACCTCCAGGTCAGTATGCAGTAACTGTCCGTTGACATCACCATGTGGTTGTCCTCATAGGCACCTTAACTTCCACTATAAACCCGCTCTTACTGCTGTTACTCACCTCAGTGACCATCAACATTGGCCACCTACTGCTCCTAGCCAACATCCTACATAAAATCCCTCACCCTCACTCCAACATACATTCTGAGTTTCACAGACTGCCTCTCCTTGGTTCCTTTCACATCATTTCACTTCTCCTCATCTCTTCCGCATACCATCACTCTCTGCCAGCCTGCTACCCTCCTACCCTCCAGACCTGGCCGTGCCTCCACCATTCCCTACCTAAATTGTATCTTTTCCTGGTTTAAAATCCTTTTGTGGCTCCTCAATACCCTCCAAATAGAGCTCAATTCTTCAGAATAGCATACTCACCCTGCCTTATATCTTCCTATGCTTCTACCATCCAGCCTTCTTCTATACTGAACTAACATTTCTATAATGCATCATACTATGGCCCTAGGGCCTTTGCACCTCTTCCAGGAATAGCCTGTTCTTTGTCTACCTCTCCACTCCCCACCTCTTTTCACCTGGCTAACTCTTCAATCACACTCTGGGCTACTGCCTTCATGGAAATCTTTCCTAACTAAAACCTGAAGATTAGTTAAGTACCTCTCCTAAGTACTCCCTTAGATTCCATCCTTACCTCTAACTCTAGGTGTAGCACTCATTACACCATATCTAAATTGCCTACTTACTTGCCTGTCTCATTACAACTGGAAATTTCCCGAGGGCACAACCTGTGTCTTATTCAACTTTATATCCCCAGCACCTAGCACAGTATTTGGCAAATAGCAGGTGCTTTATAAAATGTTTGTTAAATGAGTATGTAAGTGAATATTTCCAGAATTTAAAAATTTTCTTATTTCACAGATTAATAAATTATGACTCAGAAAGATTAAATTATTTGAATCAGCAGAAAACTGACACATACTATTTCAGTGGATATCAAGCCCAATATTAGACTGAGTCTATCAATAAGGAAATTACTGGAATCTTGCTATAATGCTATGCATGGGAGATCATGCTTCAGGACAGAGAAGTGGTATAAAAAGGTACTTTAATTTCCATTTCAAAGAGTCCCAGGTGTTAACACTATGTTCAGCCTGATTTTAATAAGAATCTGGTAGCCACCTTGGGATGATGTTGTAGCTGTTCCTTGGTTTTAAAAGGACAATTTCAAGGCATGAAAATTTTCATCTTATTCCATGAGGGCAGTTTCATCACTGATGGAGCCTGGTATGTGAAGCTAGGTGAAATGAAGGGTTCAGCATTTTCTGAGTGCTTTATATTTTCACTTTTTTGGTGAATTTTTTTATTTGATCAATATTACTTTAATCTTAAAAATGTTTCCAGATTAGAAATGCATAAAAACCTAAGGGGTGGAAAATAAAAACCTGGTTTTCTAATGCTTACTAAAAATTAAAAATAGTTATTCACTAAGACTTATAGAAAACTGATTGTAATTCACGGAAACGTACTATGATGTAAAAATAATGTTGCACATAGACTCAGATTAGGTTCTGTCTCTTAACCGGAAAAATGAGCTAGAGATTTTAAATTTCCTGAGTAACATGCTGGTGCCACAGCTGCCCAAATACCAAAAAACAATCAACTTGCTGAGGGTTGCCTGAAGAAGGAAGCGGGGCTTGAACTATTCAATGAAAAATGAACAGAACTCAAGTGATGGAATTGAATCTCTTTATGAGCGTAGGTACTTTAACAGGTTAAAACTGAATATCCTTTTTACTTACGTTTTGGAAATGGGGAATAATAAGTTCTGATAATTATTATTTATCAATATTCTCTAATATTTTTAAAGATAAATTCCTTGGATTATTTGGAATATATATATATGCCATGGAGATTAAAAGGACAGAACCCGGTAACCAAGCAGATATTTATCATTCACATACCAGGTTTTATTTTCATAACCACTGGCTTTCGACTTTTATCCCTCATTTGTCTAATATCCAACAGATCATGAGGATTGCCATTATGCCTTGGCCAGCAATAGACAAATATTCGAGACCCACTGCTTCCGCAGTCCACCACGATACCATAGTTCACATTGGGGTTATTGGTGTCTGTAGCTTCGATGTCAGTAACTCGTGCCAAGTACCTTGTTTAGAAAAGCAAACACATTTATTTAGACAGAGAACGTTACCCTACACCTAACAGAGACAATGTGATAAACAAATGCCACGTCAGTAATTTCTAGGCTGTGCTACAGTAGCACTACCGTAACATTTTTACTACCACCAAATGATTAAAGAATTAAGAGAAAACAAGTGATGGTGATAAAGATCATTTAAATCAGATACTCAACATTCTTTTAAAGAAGTTCAAACAAGTTCAAACAAGTTCTGAAAAGCAAAATTCCATATTTCCAAACTATCAGCATTAACTCAAAAATCAGCTTAAAAGATACTACAGGAGAAGCTTATGTTTAAATAATTTATTGCAGGGCCTTTTATGATGCGGATTTCGTGGTTAGCAGCTAACAAGTTTCAAGCAGTTTATTTTTTCATGCCATTCTGTACTTAGTACTGAACCCAGTTCCTACAGTCACATGCTCCTCAAATTCCAACCTAACCCCAAAAGGCTTGAAGCCATGAAATGAAGGGACGGTAGAAAACAAATGTTTTTCTACCTCTTACCTTTGAAACTTCTTGTCTCTGGATAGTCGCCCATACTTATTTCGGATTATGACAACAGAAAAGTATAAAAGTGAGACAGTAGCAGCAAGGATGCTGATGACAATAATTTGGCGTAAGTTGGTATTCAGGATTCGAAGACACCCCACTGGAGAGATGCTAAAATGCCAGGAAGCAGGTAAAAGGCAGGAGATGCCGATCCTGAAATTAGGAAAACAGATTTTAAAGCTATCTGCTCCAAAGAGGCTTCCTCACCTAAGATGACCCTACAGTAAGGTATTCAGCTTGAGCTACCCTTATTTTCCTGCCTGCATGCATCTGTACACCAGTATCTTCCATACTGCCATTTTGCTACAGAACTGATTATTATAAAATCACATGAATGAGAATTAAGCCTTATGGCTTATTGTATTTAGATATTTTCCCCTTTTTTTTTTTGAGAACATTATGCAGATTTTTATTTGTACTCTGTTTTGTTTAAAAAAGGGTTAGAGAAAGCTTACAAGAATAAGTTCAGTAAGATAAATACATACATCAATAACAAAAGCAGGTTTAAGTATGACAAAATCAAAGAAAAATTTATTATAGAAATGCATACTATAAGGTAGGCCTGTAAATTTGGCTGCGCCTCCTAGTGGCTAAAACACTGTCCATTAAATTATTCAATTAGAAACTTATCAATAGCTCAGGAGGAACAAGATTTTCTTAACACTGAATTCCAAGGCAAAATTTCTTTCAGATAACTGAGTGATGGGAGAAAAGACCATCTTTAACAACATCCCCATAACAAAGTCAATAAATGAATTCTGTATGCCTAGTGTTTTCAGGAATATTCCTATGAGATATTTTTGCAAATAAATGGGAGCTTTTCTTCTCAGTTTATATGACGAATGAAAGGTTCTTTCTGAAACTAACAACAGGCTTTTAAAAAAACTTCATTGCCTTTGGGATGTATTTTATAGTATTATAGTTCATTCCTACGTTCTTCCCTTGAAGAGTGCTTCACAGACTAAAACATCTCACTGAAGGGGAAGGTATCCTGCTAATCCAATGAAATTTTCCACTTGCAGCTTCTACTCTCCATTTGGGTTCTTAAACCACTCCATAGAATTGATCATCCTCCTTCTCACACCTCAGAGGCTTACCATTATCATGTGCTTAATATAACCACCTCTCAGGTCCCAGCATCCACGCCCTTTACTGTAAACTACGTTAATCCCAGTATAATTCACCTTGCACCATTACTTTCTTTCTGTGGCAGGCACCCCACCGGGCCTTTGAAGAATAAAGGTGTTAAACAGAAGTGTAGCACAACTTCTAAGATTGTTCACTTGGGGTTTAGTTTTTTTTTTTCTCCCTTTGAGATCTGTTTCTGTGACTGTTCACTTGAGATTTAGATCCTTCCCACCCACCCCTTACCTCCTGCCAAGATCTGTTTCTGTGGCACCAAAATCTCTGGTTTTACAGTGCCAGTGATTAGGTACCATCACTCAACCTCCCCATACTGACGGGTCAGAATCAGGCTGTGTTCTGGGAGTCAGTCCTTCTCACACACAATTATAGAAGCAATGGGGTCCTCACAGAGTTAGAGCCATCCTGTTCCAGAAGTGAGAAAAATCATAAAGATGACACAGCTGAAGAATACTTCTATGTTCTTTATCAGCTGCTTGCTGAAATCCAATGACACATAAACTAGCATATAATCCTTGCACTGGAACGGTCGCTGCTAGAGACACAGGTCTAAATCAAGAGCTCTTAACCACTTCGCCACCAGGGCTCCAGGTAGTACCCTTTACCTAAAAGGTCATCAAATAGGTCTTAAGTACTTTACAGTACTGAATGTTAAGGAAGCTTTGTGTGGGGGTAGGAGATAGGCAGACTGATTAACCAAAGGAGAATTTGAAATAGCCATTTATTTGATAAATAATATCTACTAGACTTCCATTTTGTGCACAAGGAAACATGCAAGATACTAAGTTCCCACTTAGGTCTCTGAACCATGCAAGATACTATGTTCCCACTTAGGTCTCTGTTGCTTTCACTATTATCACCACTCCTCCAGCCCTGAGACCTCAAATCTCAGAGAAGACAGGGGCCTGCAGGCAGGCCCTCCTTCTGACCTTCCAGATCCAAAGGACTTTTTTTAGTCTTTATCATTATTGATCTGTTGTTACTACTTTACCTATTCTAGGCCTCTAGAGGCAGCTTTTTTTAAAATTTTTTTTTTTAAATTGTTGTAGTTTAAGTGGAAGTTTACAATTCTAGCTAGTCTCTCATACAAAAATTTATACATCCATTGTTATGTGACCCTAACTGCTCTCCCTATACTGTGACAGCACACTCTTCCTTTCTACCCCTGATTTCCCGTGTCTATTCAACCAGCTCCTAACAGTCTCTGCCTTCTCATCTCACCTCTAGACAGAAGCTGCCCAGTTAGTCTCATGTATTTACTTGAGCTAAGAAGCACACTTCTCACGAGTTATCATTTTATGTCCCACAGTCCAGTCCAATCTTTGTCTGAAGAGTTGGCCTCGGAAACTGTTTTAGTTCTGGGTTGACAGAGAGTCCAGGGGCCATGCTTTCTGGGATTCCTCCAGTCTCAGTAAGACCATTAAGTCTGGTCTTTTTACTAGAATTTGAGTTCTGCACCCCACCCTTCCCCTGCTCCATCAGGGACTCTGTTGTGTTCCCTGTCAGGGCGGTCATTGGTGGTAGCCGGACACCATCCAGTTCTGGGCTCAAGCTGATGAAGTCTCCGATTTATGTGGCCCTTTTTGTCTCTTGGGCTAACACTTACCTTGTGTCTTTGGTGTTCTTCATTCTCCTTTGCTCCAGGTGAGTTGGGACCAATTGATGCATCTTAGATGGCCGCTTGCTAGCTTTTAAGACCCTACATGCCACTCACCAAAGAAGGATGCAGAACATTTTCTTAATAAACTTTGTTATGCCAATTGACCTAGATATCCCCTGAAAGCATGGTCCCCAGACTCCCGCCCCTGCTACTCTGTCCCTCGAAGGGTTTAATTGTATTCAGGAAACTTCTTAGCTTTGGTCTTGTGCTGACTTCCCCTGAAGTGTGTGCTGTCCTTCCTTCCACCGAAGATAATTCTTGCCTACTATCTAGTTGGTGAATAACCTCCACCCTCCCTCCCCACCCTCGTAACCATCAAAGAATGTTTTCTTCTGTGTTTAAAACTTTTCTTGAGTACTTATAATAGTGGTCTTATACAACATTTGTCCTTCTGTGATTGACTAAATTCACTCGGCATAATGCCCTCCAGATTCCTCCATGTTATGTTTCACGGCTTCATTGCTGTTCATTGTTTGGTAGTATTCCACTGTGTGAATATACCACAATTTGTTTATCCATTCTTCCGTTGATGGGCACCTAGGTTGTTTCCATCTTTTTGCTATCGTAAACAGTGCTGCAGTGAACATGGGTGTGCATATATCTATTCGTGTGATGGCTCTTATTTCTCTAGGATATATTCCAAGGAGCCGGATAGCTGGATCATTCGGTACTTCTATTTCTAGCTTTTTAAGGAACCATCAAATAGATTTCCCAAGTGGTTGTACCATTTTACATTGCCACCAACAGTGTATAAGTGTTCCAGCCTCTCCGCAACCTCTCCAGCGTTTATTATTTTGTGTTTTTTTGGATTAAAACTAGCCTTGTTGGGGTGAGATGGCATCTCATTGTAGTTTTGATTTGCATTTCTCTAATGGCTAACAATCGTGAGCATTTCTTCACGTGTCTGTTAGCCACCTGAATGTCTTCTTTGGCGAAATGCCTGTTCATATCCTTTGCCCATTTTTTAACTGGGTTGTCTTTTTGTTGTTGAGGTTTTGCAGTATTCTGTAGATTTTGGAGATTAGACGCTGATCGGATTTGTCATATTCAAAAATTTCTTCCCAGTCTGTAGGTTGTCTTTTTATTCTTTTGGTGAACTCTTTTGATGAGCATAAGCATTTGATTTTTAGGAGCTCCCAGTTATCTAGTCTCTCTTCTGGTGCTTGTGCATTGTTACTTATGGTTTGTATTCTGTTTATGTCATGTATTAGGGCTCCTAGTATTGTCCCTATTTTTTCTTCCATGATTTTTATTGTTTTTGATTTGATATTTAGGTCTTTGATCCATTTTGGGTTAGTTTTTGTGCATGGTGTGAGGTATGGATCTTGTTTCAGTTTTTTGCAGATGGATAACCAGTTATGCCAGCACCATTCGAGGCAGCTGTCTTGTCTACTCTGCTTCTTAGCTCTTAAAACAACTCCTTCTCAGGATCCTTCAAGTTGCTTCCTTCTCTGCCAATCCCAGCTACACTTCCATTCCTAAGGGTTCCTTCTGTTGTGACTCTATTCTCTTCTAACTGTACTCACTCTTTCTGCTCAATTGCATTCTATTGCTTCAAATGCCAAATAACTCAAAAAATTTTCTCCACCCCAGGCTTCAACTGCCCACTAGATCTCTTCATCTGAATGTCATACCAAAAAAAAAAAAAAAAAAAAAAAAAAAACCCCAGTGCTGTCAAGCTGATTCTGACTCACAGCGACCCTATAGGACAGAGCAGAACTGCCCCATAGGGTTTCCAGGGAGTGGCTGGTAGATTGAAACTCCTGACCTTTTGGTTAGCAGCTGAGCTCTTAACTGCTACGCCACCGGGGCTCCTATAGGACCATGAAAAAAAATTCTAAAAGTGAACTCTTCAGTTGTAATCTTCACCCCTTTTTCTCCCAACCAGCCCCTCCTCCTGTAGTCCCAATTCTCGATTCCACCAAGCTGCTCAAACCAGAAACCAAGGAATCATGCCTGAGTCCTACTTCTCTTTCTACCTTCCAGATCCAATTTCTTACCAATTCCTTTAATTTCTTTGTCCTCAGTTTATCTAAAATCTGCCTTTACTTCATTGCGTCTGCTTGTGGTCAGGTTCTTACGTCCTATCTCTTACCTAGTTTGTCAGAACAGCAACCTAACTAGTCTCCTATCTGCAGTCTCAACCCAGTGAGCTAGCACAGATTCTTCATCTGAAGTAGATAAACACATGCCACCCCCTGCCTCCCGGGTACATGATAATGCCACTCTTGTACTAAAAACCCTCCAATGGCTCCCAGCTCACTTAAAGTAAAAGCCAAAGCCTTCCTAGGACCTACAGAGTCCTACCGGATCTGGCCACCTGTTAACCACTCTGATGTCATCTTCCACTACTCTCTGCCTCTTCCTCCACTCCAGCCACACTGGCTTTCTCACTGTCTTCAAACATGCCAGGCGCTCTCCGAATCTGCTACTTTCTCTGCTTGGAAATAAACTGTATGGTGTACTTTCTCACTTCCTTCAGGCCTTTACTCATGTTACCTTCTTAGTGAGGCCTTGCCTGGTCACCCAATTTATAATTGCAAGCTCTCTTCTCTCTCCGTCTCTCTTCCTTGCTTTATTTTTTTCTTCTTAGCATTTACTTATTTATTAGGTACTTACATAATGTGCCAGGCCCTGTTCCAAGCACTTTACAAATATCTACTCCTCATAACAGCCTAGAAGGTAGGTGCCATTATCATAACATTTTGCAGATGATGCAGAGAAGTTAAGTAACTTACCAAGGTCAAACAGCTAAAAATGACAGAGCTGGGATTAAAAATTTCTGTGGTGATGTCACACTCTTCTAACTTTACTCACTTTTCCTGGTCAATCACCTTCAAGTTTCAGAGTTCTGGGACCTAGAAAGGTAAAGAACCTCTACACCAGAGCAATCTTTCTAAAACAAACAGGAATCATAACAGCCCCCACCCCCCAACTTTTCTCTCTCATTTAGGACAAGTCCTAGCTCCTCAGGATGGTACAAGAAATCCTTCATGATCTAGTCCTGTCCTGTTCAATACGGTAGCCACTTGCCACTTGTGGCCATTTAAACTAATTAAAATTATTGATTAAAACTAAATACAATAAAAAATTCAGGTCCCCAACTGCACTAGCCACATGCTCATCAGTCACATGTAGCCTCTATATTAGCACAAATATAGATCACTGACATTGCTGCAGAAAGTTCCTTTGGACAGCACTGATCTAGTCCTGGCCCATCTTTCTAGTTTCATCCCGACAGACTGCTATATGTGCTCTATGTTCCAACCACACTAAAAGCAAGCTGCAGATCACTGAAAGGCCCCACAGTGCTCTGCATTTGCAGAATGAACCTGTCTCTCTTGAGATTATCTATTGGCACTCCTACATATTCTCATGACACCAGTCAAGCGTTCTTTCTCTGCAAGGGCAAAATGAAATAGCTCCTTTAGTGAAAAATGCAGGAGGCAATAAAACAGACATTAGCAAACCCTCCAATCACAAACAAAATCACAGACAAATAAACAAATGAGACTCTGGATGAGCTAGATCTCTGAATCAAAAAAGGTAGGTCTCTTTAGGAGAGCAAGAGTCCAAAGTGAAGTGAAGGATGCTGGGTGGCACTAACACTCAGTTGTGGGAAAAAGTTACATGAAGATATACTTGATTCATTCTGTTTGGAGATGAATGCATGTAATTGCATTTATGAT